TCCACGTCGCCTGGGTCGTCGCCCTTCGCCTCCACGTCGCCTGGGTCGTCGCCCTTCGCCTCCACGTCGCCTGGGTCCTCGCTCTTCGCCTCCTCATCGCCTCGGTCCTCGCCCTTCGCCTCCTCATCGCCTCGGTCGTCACCCTTCGCCTCCTCATCGCCTCTGTCGCCTGCGTTCGCCGTCACTGACGTTCTGGCTCCGACAACCTCCCTGGTCTCCTCGTCTGCTCCCGCCTCCTCCCTGGGCTCCTCGTCTGCTCCCGCCTCCTCCCTGGGCTCCTCGTCTGCTCCCGCCTCCTCCCTGGGCTCCACCACCGTTTTAATGACCCCCTTGGACCTGGGAGGGTTTCTGAGCCGCCCTCCGGATGTTCAACTCCGTGTTGGGTGGTTCCCTGGTCGTCCTCCTGGACCATTGCCCAATGGGGGATGAATTTTTCTGTTTCCCTGAGTCCTCCGTGTTTTTTGTCCTTGAGTTTTGTTTTGTCCTGTCACCCCGTTCCGTACTCTCTCCTTGTTGATCGTCGGGTGACGATCATTAAGGGGGGGGGAGGGGTACTGTCAGGATCTGTGTTTATTTTCTTAGTTTTCTAGTGTTTTCAGTGTTCCCCAGTGTGTCACAGCTCAGCTGCTCCCTGTCTGTCTGATTGTCACCCTCGTGTTTCTCACCAGGTGTTTTCAGTTCATCAATTAGTAGTCTGTGTATTTAAACCCTGTTCTGTCTCAGTCTGGTGTCGGATCATTTTTGTTGTTCCATGTGTTTCTCGTGTTGGTTCTGGTTCTTCAAGCTTTGTTCCCCTCGTGCCTGTGATTCTTCATATTTGTAAGTTTGCTGCCAGCAGCCCTCCTTTGTTATTTAAAAATAAATTTTTGTTATATTTTTGAGCCTGCCTGCGCCCTGGGTTTCGTTCCTGCTAGAACCTCACAGAGGCCCCACCTCTCCTGCTGCTACTGACTGCATATCACTGATGAATTGACACATTATTTGTGCAATTCATTTGTTGTAATGAACCTTGAAGAAGGTAGCATCTGAAATAAAAAAACAACTCATGTTGTATTTATGTTTGACAGTTTTACTCATGAAACTTTAACGATAACAGAGGTTATTGTGTTTAGTGTTAACTGGCAGAATGAATGTCATTTATTGTAATCTATGGAAATAGAAGACACTGAATGGCTATAAGATCTGCAGGATAATAAATACTCAAGCTGACTGAAGTACTTGTCTGTAATGTTTTGCCTTCATATGAAGTTGACCATGGTTTGTATGGTTTTACAGAAGTGATCTAGGAATTTTCTGAGGAAGGGGCCATTAAGGGGCCACAGTTTTCATAGAGGGGCCAATAATTTCATCAACACATAAATGTCTGGTTTTGGTAGGAAGTGTACATTTAACCAATCACAAATGTTCAGACACATGTAAAGTCATGTAATTAAAGAAAAAGCTTACACAGTAAATTCTTGTCAATTTTACATGCTAACCACAGATGTATAATAACTAAGTACATTTACTTTGTCACAGTACTTAAGTAATTTTTTTAATCATTACTTTTAATTTTAATTGAATACATTCAAAAAAATATACTTTTACTTCTTTACTTTAAAGTTTAACACCTAGTTGTATGGTACAAATTTAAATAAGTACATAAACAACTCCTTTCATTCCACATTCTGGTCTTATTTAAATTTGCATGGTACAAATTTAAATAAGACCAGAATGTGGCATGAAAGGAGTTGTTTATGTACTCTTATAAATTAAGAATTGA